GTGTGTGTGTGTGTGTGTGTGTGTGTGTGTGTGTGTGTGTGTGTGTTCTGCAGGGTGTTTTGGGAGGTCTGTGCAGTGGGAAGTCTGCTCTCGTCCACAGACACTTAACAGGAAGTTATCTTCCGGCAGAGAATGCAGAAGGTTGGTTCATCTTTTTATTATGTGTCTGGTTTTCTTTCTAAGAATCCCCTCAGTGATAATGTTTCTATTTTATTTCWGTGCAATGAAAAATTAATATAATTTTTGATGATTATAAATAATATTTTACAAAATATAGATTCTCAGGTGGATTTAAATCTGGGCTTTGCACCTTTCCAGGACTTTAACTACTCCAGAGCTTTGTTTCAGCAGAGAGTTTAGGCTCATTGATCTGTTGGAAGGTGACCCTCCATCCCTTTGCTCCAGTCATTTGTCCTTTGCTGACCAGCCCTAGTTCCTGCTAATGGAAAAAAAGTGTCCAAAACATGATACTGCCACCACCATGCTTCACTGTGGGGCTGATGTTCTCTCATCTGACTACAGCGCCTTCTTCAAGGGGTTTGGGAGGAAAACATTGCAAACGGTCTATCTTTCTTGTTTGCCTAAGAAAAGTTTTATTTCTTGACCAATTTCCTGCAAGCTTATAGTTTTCTTATGGACAGACACTCAAATCTCTTCAGAAGAATGCCACTCACTGGCCTCCCGGATGTTTCTCTTTCTTTGGGTTTTGGTTTGCGACCCTCTCTAGGCAGGTTTGCTGCGGCCGTATCTTCTTTCCATTTTCTTATAATGGGTTTATTGGTGCTCTACAGAATGTTCAGGTATCTGGTATATTCTCAAAATACAACTCAACCTGCTTTCTCCACAGTTTTGTTTGGTTTTTGTTCTCTGTTGCTTGGTGGTAGTCCTTACTGCTTAAAGGTGTTGGTCCTGGGGTCTGTCTGTTACTACAGATTTATATTATTATGACCCCCGCACGCAAAGCGTAAGCGGGAGTCATATTGTTTTCGTACTGTTTATTTATTTATTTATTTATTTATTTTTTGTTCCAGGGCTGTAGATGAGTCTGACCTACACTGCACCAGCCAACGGTTTTACGATACACCTCATATTTGAGGAGGGGGCTCCTTTCAAAGAGGGGGTGTCTGGACATGCAAAAATGCTTATAACTCAGAAACTGTTCAACAAAGAAGCTTCAGAATTTTTTGTTGTTTAGCTCTGATGAAGCTYTATCCATCAGGTCCCCCAGTCAGTACCCCACCCCACCGAACCCCCAGTTTATCTGAAAAAGGAGTATCTGGACATACAAAAATGGTTATTGCTCAAAAGCTATTAAACATAGGAGCTTCAGATTGTTGTTGGTTGTTTAGCTCTGATGAGGGGCTATCCATCAGGTCAACCAATGCCCCCCCCCCAAAAAAAAGACCCTCACCCAAACCACTACAATTTTAGTATGCACCTGGTTGCATGACATTTATTAGGAATGAAGATTTCTGAGTTCCTGTGCATTTTTGCATGCAGGGGTCATTATGTTACTGCTATGTGGTATCTAGTTTAACAGGTTTAGATCATTTTTCACAGAGTTTTCCAGTTAAAAATAATTGGAAAGTCAACAGTCTTGTTTTCTGACCAGGCCGACAGTACATCAAGGACGTATTGGTAGATGGACAGAGTCACCTRATGATAATCAGAGAGGAGACAGAACTCCCAGGGGCTCAGGTAGGTTATTTAACAAGAGAATTTAGCTTCCTCTCAGCCTCGTGTTCTAATATGTCTATTTTGTTCTCTTTTCTTTAGTTTGCGAGCTGGGTGGATGCCGTCATCTTGGTGTTCAGCTTGGAAAACGAGGCCAGCTTCCAGGAAGTTTACAGATTCTACCACCAGCTTGCCATGCATCGGCCTGTCACTGAGATCCCTTTTGTAGTCGTTGGCACTCAGGGTAAGACTCTCACACACCAAAACTTTGCACAAACGTTCACACATGACCTTGAGTTGTTGTCGTTTCTTTAGATAAGATCAGCAGCACCAACCCGAGGGTGATAGATGACGCCAAGGCCAGACAGCTCTGCTCAGACGTGCGTCGCTGCACTTACTACGAAACCTGCGCGACGTACGGCCTCAATGTGAACCGAGTCTTCAATGACGGTGAGTCGAAGCACCATGGGAAAATRAAGAGAGCTGCAGCAGAGGGCGGATCAATCTTGATGCTACGTTCTGTTTTGYTTTTTCATCCACAGCTGCTCAGAAGATCATGGCGGCCAAGAAACAAGCCGCTTTACTGGCTTCCTGTAAGTCTCTTCCCAACTCTCCCAGTCACTCTGGAGGCTCCACCCCAGTGTCTGGGGTCTTTCCAGGCCAGGTAAAACCCTAACAGACCCTCTCCTTTGCACATTATCTGCTGCTCTTACTATTCAAGACGTTCTCCCCCTTCTGCTCTGACTCTTTCCTTCTTGCAGGCCAGTAACGGTGGTCAGAGCAGTGATTACTCCTCTTCTCTTCCCTCCACCCCGGTGATCAGCCATAAAGAGATTGGCCGAACTTTAAGAGGTGAGAAATCAGACGGCGCCGGGCCCGGGTCAGTTCGCGGAGTTCGGAGGCGCACCCCGAGATTTGCAGTAAGTGCCGTGTTCGCGTTTGTACATTAACATCTTTGTGTTTTATACTAATTTTCTTCATCTTTTTGTTTAATCACCTCACATCTAATGAAGTTCTGATTTTGTTTAGGAATAAAACTCTGAGCTTTTTGTCTGTACAAGAACATCTTTGTAGATTTTGATGACACAACCTAAAATTTTAAGCTAGTTGAGTCATAAAATCCTAAACAAATGCACCATTTACTCCAGAGGCAGCAATGTTTAGAGGTATGCTGAACAAAAAAAAATACTGAGCTGAATCTCAGGACAACGAAAAGTAAGGTCAGACACAAAAAGACAGAACTAAAGGAATGATGCAAAGATCTGACAAACGCACAAAGAACAGGGTTTCACAATTAAAGTGTGGATATGTGTTACATATAAAACAGTGTCTGAAGGGACTTTTTCTGTTTAATATTTATGATAAGTCTTTTATTCTGAAGGGGACTGGAAGTGTACGGGGAAGTTGTGTTGCTATGGTGCAATGTGTGAGGCAGGGATAAGAAAAGGAAGAAGCCTGTTCATTGTACTTGAATTTTGTTTTATTTTACAAAGTTCACCCAAAATGAACCACAAAGACAGGAGCAGAATGGAAATTACATTTTTTATTTAATAAAAAAACTGGTGAGGCAACATGAAAAACAAAATACGCTAAGTAGATGGATAACACACAAAATCAAATAAACAACTAAACATAAAGCAGTGAAGATTAAGCAAAAAAATATTTTCTGTAACTATTTTTAAAATTGCTGTTAAGAGCCATCCTTTAGTATTTTAAATCTCTTAATATATGTTTATATTAAATTTCAGGTAATTCCCATTGAAACAATCTGAATAGTTCGTTCCTTTTTTCTTTTTCAAATAAAATCGCAAAAAGAAAACAACCGTGTTTTGTTGTTAGTTTTTCCGTTTTCAAAATTTAAATGTAAAAAATGAATTGATGTAATTAAAAATCCACAGTGTTTGATATTTGCTTTAGCTATTTAAATCCAAAATAAAATAAACAGTTTCTGTTTTAATATGTAGCGACACCAGAAATGAAGAAATGATGGAAGTCGCCAAGACTAAAAAACGGAAACCGATCCTAAAGATATTGGCAATGGCTGCACTCAAATCCAATTCTGCATAACTTGGAATATTAAAGCAATTTTGTTCACAGTAAAATAGCTCTCAAGATGGGACAGCTCCTTCTAAAAAGGCTATTTATAAAGAACTAAGTGAAAACATAACACATCAGGAGTTCAGGCCATGATGATTTCCTGTTCCGCCAGAAAGTAACAAATAGTGCAATTTTCATTTTTTCAATTTTCATTTTTTTTATTTTGTTTTAAAACAAAATAAAAACAAACCAAAAAACAAAGTAGATTATTTGTTTTATTTTGAATCAGAAAAACGAAAGAATGAACCCATACATGGATTTGAAACTTGACCAGAATTTATAAACCCTAATCCTGACAGAATTAACTTTGTTTCTCCAAACTGAGCTCATTCAGCAAGCTATCTGTGACAGGTAAGATATTAATTGTTCATAACTTTTAAGTCTGAACTGAACGCATACAGGTGAAAAAAAATGAAACTTTGTAAACTTTTTTTTTACAATTGTTATTATATCTAGTCAGACAGGTTGGAAATATTTATTTATTACTTTTTAACTTTGCTCGTATTTCCTCCCCTTTTCTTTCCTCCAGGGTCGGAGAGGCAGCGACTCAAACAGACGAAGTGCCGACTATAAGGGCGATTTTGGCAGCGGGCGCTTCATTCCCGTCAAACAGGTGAGACACTGATGTGTGCTTGATACGGAAACAGATAGGATGTGTCTGATGAYCCTCAGCGGAGGACGTCACACCAGCAGCCACTTCAAAATGTGAGAAGCCACTTTCATCATGTTGACTGATGAAGTGCTGCTGGCCTGATGAATAGTCGGTGGGTGTTTTTGGCAGCTGGGAGTCTTTGCGCCACCAAAATATGTGAAACGAAGGCACGAGATAAATACTCTTTTTGTTTTTTATTTTCCGTTGCTTTCGTTACCAACAGGGCATCTTGCTGAAACGCAGCGGGAACTCGCTCAACAAAGAGTGGAAGAAGAAATATGTTACTCTGTCCAATGATGGCATACTGTCCTACCACTCCAGTGTCAATGTGAGTTGTGTGTGTGTGTGAGCGCTGAGTGACGATCTGCTGCTCGGAGCAAAGCGCTGATGTTTGACGCGCTGTTTGGTCCTGACAGGAGTACATGCTGAACACCCCGGGGAAAGAGATGGACCTGCTGCGAGTCACTGTGAAGGTGCCGGGGAAGCGACCCCCGCGTGCTGTGCCAACGTGTGGCCCCCCGGCTGGGCTTAACGGGCGGGTCAAAGATGTGCTGGGACCTGAGGGTAAACGTGTTACATCACAACAGGATTGAGGAAGATTTCCCTGAGGATAAACATGGTTATATATCAGAAGAAATAAAACTGCACTATTTTAATACTAAAAAGGATAAATCACTGCACTGCATTCAGCTGTGCACCCATAAAGAGCCAGAAAATAATAATGTGTTATAGTTTATAGTACTTTAAGTAATAAAAGTAAGAATAAACAGTTTTGTGTTATTTATGCTGTAAAATAGTAAAATGTTTTATACTTTTCAGCTTTAAAGTTCTTTGTATGAAGAAATAACAGCCTGTCTGAATCACTCTCATCTACTACCATGCCAAATTTTAACTCAATGTCTATAAAACATAATTAGTCATAGATATTTTTGCATTGTCTAAGTTTGATAAGCTTCGACATCCATCTTGAATTAGCATGAGTCCAAAAAGCGAGTCATTGTTTTCTGAGAGTTTTGTTAAAATCCAAACAGCGGTTCTTGAAATATTTTGCTAACAAGCACACATCATTGCTCGCCTTTCTTGCCAGAAGGTGATAATTATCTTCTCCTCCTGTCTGTCTCTCATGATGTTCTTGAAGAGCTTTAGCCTACTTTTCTTTGCAGTGAGGATTCATTTTTTCCAAGTATTTTGTTTATTTACAGCTCTGTTAAAAGGATAGTTCAAATCTTTTGTATTTAAAATGATAAATAGTGTATTACCTGCTGTAGGTAGCTCTTTTAACTACTTTAATGTGTGGACATGGAGATTGAATTAGAGTAGATTGGAGGAGTAGAGTTTAGTTTCCAGTTTGGAGACGTCATTTGGATTATGTAGATCAGTGGGTTTCCAACCTATTTTCCTCAAAGCCCACCCCCTTTTTTTTTTTACTTCCAAACTGGGCGAGACCCCACTCCATCCCTCATTACCCTCAGTTACATTCAACCTTTATCTCTTTATTAAAATAATAAAAGAGTAAAAGGGAATAGTTACAAACTTGTATTTTGAAAAGGAAAAAAAGAATAGAGTCATACAGAGTTTTAATTATTCAAATGGATTAGTTCTGTTTATTTTTTATAATAAATTATTCTCACAACCTCTGAGCAGACGAGATTATAATCTGTGCTCTCTGCTGTCATCTCTCCAGTCCCAGTCAGCACCAGCAGCCTCCTACAGGTGGAGGAAATGGAGGAGCTGGGAGGTGCACTGTTCCTGAGGAGTAAAGTAGGTGTGCAGCGGTGTCCGTCTACACTTTCCAACCACGCTCAAGGTATCAGGAAGCAGGATAAAGGATTTCTGGCTGCATGGTCATGATTTTGCGCTGGTTTGAGCTCAACAGCTTGTGTCTTTTTATTAAATTTTTAAATTTTGTTTCTGTGCTTTAGATTCTGCTGTTGAGGGAGTCTCCAGTTCTTCCTCCACTAAAGACGTGGGCTCTGCCTCCCCGCTGACCGACAGAAAGAAGTATCGCAGGAAGAAGAGCACGAATCAGAAAGGAGACGCAACCTTGGGTCAAGCAGACGGTGCAGTAAAAGCTCAAACATTACACGTATTTTAATAAACAGCATTCTGCCTTTTCTTGTCATATTCCCATTACTGCAATCTCACAAGATTTATTTATTAAAGAGTTACGTAATCATTGCCAGTTTGAGAACATATTTAAACTTCAGTATGCATACTGTTTTAATATAAATGCATAACTCCTTGTTTTGTCTTTTTCTTTTTTTCTTTTTTCTCGTGCAGCGAAACGCAAAATGTGGAAACTCAAAAGTTTTGGTAGCCTTAGAAACGTGAGCAAGACGGGTAATGTCCATTTGACAGACTTTTTATTTATAGCACCTTTGAAACACAAACACAACTCAAAGTTTTTTTTAGAGCTAAAGCATAACATGGAGCTAAAAAAATGTTCAAACTGAGAACATGAAATGATAAATAGGAATATAACTAAAAGGACTGAATTGAAGACAAGAAAGATTGAAGGGAAGGAAATGAGAGATCACATTGAAACAAGAGCTTTGCTATTTAGTAAGAGGGGCAAAAAATAACAACAAAGTTCCTTTTGAGAGAACTGGAGTCAGGAGAAATACCATTCAGAGAAGCTATAAGCATTTCAGAATGAATCTTTTAGGGTTTTAAGTCAAAATTAACATTTTAAACTTGATTTAAAAAGCAGAAAATTGTAGCTCATCCAGGCTTTAAAGCAAGCACATAACTTCATGAACTGATTAGTTTCCCCATTTTAACATAGTAAAATAATAAATTACATCTATACCATAAAAATACTGATACCTCCACCTGATTGTCACATATTCATATGAAAGTTTCAGGTTTTTTTAGAGTCCAGAGCACGTTTTCTGRGTGTTTGTGCATTTTTAGCTTCACTGATGCTTGAAAATTCTGTTTCTGATTGTTTGGACCAACACTTTCTATCCATAACAGATGAGGAGAACTTTGACTTCCTGGTCGTGTCGAGTACCGGCCAGACGTGGCACTTTGAAGCCCARAGTGTAGAGGAGAGAGACTCCTGGGTCCAAGCCATCGAGAGTCAGATCCTGGCCAGCCTGCAGCTGTGTGAGAGCAGCAAAAACAAGGCAAGGAACACGCTGCACAGGATATGCACGTCTTACACAGAACACTCATTCCATGGGCTTCGGTAGCTCAGTGGTCAGTGCAGAGGTCAGTGTGATCTGTAGGCTGCAGGTTTGAGTCCCAGGTTGCATCAGGAAGGGCATTCAGTTTGCTCGYCTTGGTGACACCTGCAGGAGGATGCAGAAAAATAAACAGCAACAGTTAGTTTAATGAAAACTGTTGACAAAGGATTAACTGTTTTTGACAGAAGAAAGTAGATCAACTGATTTTTGTAGGTGTTTATTTTAGGCCTGAGTTTTCAAAATAAAATCACTCAAAATAAAATTTCTAGATTTATGCAGAAAGATTTGATGAAGATATTTGTTGCAATTCTTTGCTGTGTGTGTGTGTTTTTATCAGGACAATAAGAACAGCCTAAGTGAAGCCGTGGCGATGCAGGCGATTCGAAATGCAAAGGGCAACGACTTCTGTGTGGACTGTGACGCTCCGAGTTAGTGACGCTCTTTCATTCCTTCAGCTCTTTATACTTTGCTCATATTATTTTCTAGTTGTGTGACCAAAGTTTACATAATGAGCAAAATCTTCACCTTATTAAAATATTTTTATGAACATCTGTTAATCACAACCTGCTCTGTTTTGATAAAACAGCTTCACTCTGCAGTTCAGCTTCAGATAAAGTGTGAGCCTAACGTGTACCATCCTTCCCTAAGATCCAACCTGGGCCAGTCTGAACCTGGGCGCGCTCATATGCATCGAGTGCTCTGGGATCCACAGGAACTTGGGGACCCACCTGTCTCGGGTTCGCTCGCTGGCCCTCGACGATCTGCCAAGAGAGCCCACGCTGGTTCTCAGCACCATCGGCAACCACATGGTCAACAGTATATGGGAGGCGCGCACCATGGGCCACCGTAAACCAGCGCCAGATGCTTCCCGGTAAATTTACGACCAGTCGCAAAAAGAAAGCAGATTTTAATGTGTTAAAGAACACCGGTGTKTTCGGCTAATTTGGGTGAAAAAGGCAACAAGAATCAGTCGATGCAGGTGAATTTCACTGATCTGTTTTTTTTTTCCTGTGTTTGCTCAGGGAAGAGCGCGAGTCGTGGATCCGAGCCAAGTATGAGCAGAAACTGTTTGTGGCGCCGTTGCCTCCTCCCACTCCCGGCAAGAGCCCAGACATCACTCTKTCAGGCCGTCTTCTGTTGGCAGTGATGGAGCGCAATCTGCCCAAGCTGCTGCTCCTTTTGGCCCACTGCAACAAGGAGGACATGAACGCCCCTCCCGGCCTGTCGCTCCCCACCAGGTCGCTCCTAGCGCTCCGGCTGCCTGGCTCTGCCCTGCACGCTGCCTGTCAGCAGGCTGATGTGGTGATGACTCAGCTTCTTGTTTGGGTTGGTTTCACTCCTCCACCTTTCTTCTTACTGTGATTTACTTACCTACTTTTTCCTGTAAAATATGTATTTTTTTTTAGATATATATATAATCTGATTCCCTGAAATACTGTTGCAGCTGGTGTATTTGTAAAGTGTAAAAATACTTTAAAGTGAAAGTTAAGATATTGTGGAGTTCTGTGGAAAGGTTAATCACAAACAATACCTCAATTTAGAATATACCAGTTTTGATTCTGACTCGATTGGTGAGGTAACGGCYGGTCTGAGTGGGGCCAGGACAACAGTGGATTGTTACAAAACAGATCACACATTTTTTAACTCGTTATACTATTAGTAATTTTATGTTATATGGTTATTTGAGAGACCAAGACCAAACATTTCTGTATTTTTCGTGTTGGTTATTGAAGACCCAGCTTTACTGGAGCTGTCTTGTTGACTTTCGAGGCCAGAGTCTGTGCACTAGGGATGTTTGGTTTTAAGTCCCGCTCACTTTTTCCAGTGCACAATTGTGGGGTTGAATGAGCTTTTTTTTAAAGCTTGAAAGAACAGCTAAATGCTTTAGGGAAGAAAAAAACATCAAAGTAGGATAAAGGTGAAAGACGAAGAGTCAGCACATAAAAATAGAATGATCTGAGATGTATGTATTTATCTTTATTTTACCAAGGCCAGTGTTTGGTTTGTTTAAATAGAGGGGGCGGAGCCTAAAACGTTTACTGGAACCAGCCTCCCGTGAAGCTGGTCCTGTTTTGGCTTCAACCTCAGGGTTCCAGGTTTAAGCAATTTATGAATTATTCAAAACTAATTTTATCTGCTATGGTGGACTTGCAACCTGTCCACGGTGTCCCTCGTCTCTTGCACGGTGACTGTTGGACATAAGCACTTTCTCACTTTAATTTCTTAGTCATTAAGTCTGTAGTTTCAGTGTGTTTTTATTGTAATTTTGAATTGTTTTTAATTTTGTAAAGTGTCCTTGGGTATTATTTCTTTATTATTATTATTATTATTA